ATTAATTTTCAGCTATCTCGAAATGACGGGAATTGGTAAAATTTCATAAAAATTTAAGACTCGCATAAAGTAAATAATTACTAAAAATATTTTACAGTAATTCATTCATTATTTTATAATAACAATATCACGTTAATCACTACACTATGTGGGCGAACAAAATTATAAAGCTAACCCTGGAAACTTGTGACGTTAACCGAAAAATGGCGTACATATTTACCTTTTATATATTCCTTTTTTTTACTTACCTAAAGAAGGAAACTTTTCGCCTCTCTTCACCAACTCGATCACTTCTATTTATACAATGTTTTACAATACACTTGCCCATGATAAAATGTCTAATTATCGAAATCACAGCGATGCGTACACGTCAAATGCTAGGACACGACTGAGCGCTGGGCTCCAAATCAGGCTCCAAAGTGTTTTCACCAAAGTCGCTTTATAAGCCAGTCTAGGTGGTCTATGGTAGTAAATGATTGCTCCAAAACTAACCTTACTGGTAGACCGCACATCAACAGCTGTTTCAAAATACAGTGTGTTTTATTCTTCACTAGGTTTATTCACTGATTTCCCTAGCAGGTTGCCAACTCCTCTTAACAAAAATATTTAGTACGTTTTACTGTAGTTCTACTAAAGCTAATTACGGAACGCACCTATAGTTTCCCCACTCTACGGTTAAACGTAATCAAAATCTAAAGCCGGCTACTCACTACGCGGGATTTGCTGAGTGACTTGACTTGGAATAGTTTGACAAGTACTTGCTCAAGTTAAAGTAAACTGTACGCGCTTACGCGCTCAATTTACTTAACTCTCAATTTTTTAGGACGAAAAGCGAGTAGTCTTAAAAAATGGAAGAAAGTGAAACGAGAGCTTTAGCAGCACCACTTTTTGTGCTGCTCTTTAATTTGCTTTTTCAGTTACGAAATGTGGCCATAAGGAAATCTTTTTTCTTGTTTGACTCATCGACACTAACTTCTGGTTAGCTTTCCAAACATCGTTCACTTCGCTTCTGTTTTTATGTAATTTAGGTTCCCGTTGATATAAATCCAAAAACATAATTATTATCATTTACAATAATAAGAAATATGTTTAAATAAAACACGATTGAGCAACACACAAAACAATTTACTTGTGAAATCCTTTAAAGTAGGTACAGATATTATGTCTGCGTAATGTGGTGCGTTCTAACAAGTCGCCGCGTCAAGCTACTCGCTTCCTTTGACGTCTGGCAGTTTTCCGACACACAACGGGAAGTAGAAGTAACTCGCCAAGTCTAAACGAGTCGCCGTATACACTACGTGCTACTTGGCAAGTACTTGCCAAGTACCGCGTAGTGAGTAGCCGGCTTAAATGTTAAAAACTTATACTACTGGCACTACTAGTGGCCGAGAGTGTAGGGGAGGTTTAGAGAGAGAGAGAGCTATAAGAGTGTATTTGCTATATCTCTCTAACAACCTGGAATGGCGTGCTACTAGAAAGAGGTAGCAAATGCCCTCCTATACCTCTCTCTCTCTCTCTCTAAACCTCTGCTACTCTCTCGGCCACTGAGGCGCTGCCTCCAGTAGTATATGCTCTAAGGTCTAAATCATCAGCGCACCTATCGACGCGTTCCCGTACTAAAATACATATCTGTCAAATCAAAAGCAAAGCATGTTTTGTGGTCAAAAGTTTGAGAGTGAAGAGAATGGTGAATGTATCCTGGATTGAGCATTTGAAAAATAAATCAATTTTGCATACGAATAATTATTTAGGTTTATATTAAACATGGTGAAACTAACAGCTGAACTAATACAAAATTCTATGCAATATATAAATCCTGTTAAAGACAGGGAACTAGATTTAAGAGGTGAATATTACTGTAATTAAAAGTGCGGTTAAGTATTTTTATTGAACAACTTTTAGGATATCGAATACCAGAAATTGAAAATTTAGGTGCAACAGGGGATCAGTTTGATACCGTAGATTTTTCTGATAACGATATAAGGAAACTTGATGGTTTTCCATATTTAAAGAGGTTGAAGTGTTTGCTGTTGAACAATAATCGGATTGTGTAAGTATAGTCATAAGTAGGTATGTATTAATTTATATCATTAATAATTAAACTTTTTATTTAGGCGTATTGGTGAACATTTAGAGGAATATATACCCAACTTAGAAAGCCTTATTCTTACTGGAAATCAAATTGCTGATCTTGGAGATATTGATCCTTTGGTTAGCCTCGAAAAACTTACTACTTTAAGTCTTATGCACAATCCTGTTACAGCAAAACAACATTATAGGTTATATGTAATTTATAGGCTTCCTCAGTTGAAACTACTTGATTTCAGAAAAATTAAATTGAAAGAACGTGATGAAGCTAGAACGCTATTTAAAAGTAAAAAGGGCAAGGAAATGCAAAAAGAAATATCCAAACGAGCAAAAACGTTTGTACCTGGAGGAGGCATTAACAATATAGCTAAAAATAAAGGTAGATATTTTGTAAATGACACAACTTTTCATTCATGTTTAAACTCAGTCTGGTCATTTGTTATTTAATTTTCTATTTTGTTAACTTTTAGGCATCTCTAATAAGTTTAACGTCAAATCTCATAGAAATCATACCTGTCACAACTTGAAGTAATGCTTTATAAGTGCTTAACATTATTACGTATATATTTTTTAAGTTTTACTTTTGATATTACTCCTGTTATTAGTGTTACAAGCAAATAATGTATTTTAGGATTGAGTGATGAAGAAGTAAGGAAAATAAGGGATGCAATTAATAAAGCTAGTTCGCTTGAAGAAGTAGAACGATTACAGAAAATTTTACAATCGGGTCAAATCCCTGGAAATGACATTAATGGCAGTAAGTAAATAATTCTTTAATATTATTATTTTTGGTTTACTTATACTTGATAATATTTTTAATTAGTGATGGCAGTCACTTACCGCAAATGACCATAATGACCATCGAATATTTAAAATGAGCAATTTTTCTGTCAGAATAATTCTCCATTAAAATAATTATTTATAGTTATTAAAAACTATTCTTCTTTCTCAAATATAATCAAAGGTAACATTTCCTGTGGAGTTACTTCAAAATTTTTAAATAATGAACCAGAACGAGAAGGCAGTTAAAATATTAAGAAGTACAAGAACACTTTCGAAATGTGCAATAAGTATAAAAGATCAGTTCAAAGAAATATAATTTTTGAAATGACCAATAAATGACTAAAAGTGACCTGGTCACATTCATTTTTAAATAACCAGTCATTTAACTATTTTTAATTTTATAATAACGAGCTGCTTTCTGGTACTTGTATAATTTCAAATACCATTATGATTTGATATTCCAATTATTTGTTTTATTCTATAACTAAATATGTATATTTCTAGTCTAATTTACATGTTTTTTTTTTTTTAATTTCAGAACAACAAAATGGTCATGAGATGGATTATGAATAAAACCTCATTTTTTTGGTAATGTATACCACTGTATGAAAATTTTTTATAATTTTTTTATTAAGCTGTAAACGCAGTTACATTTTTGTAACATGTAGATATAAGTTGATAAGAACATTATAATTTGTCTATAAATAATAAAATATTTTGTCTGCGTAAAATTAATGAGTTACTAAGGTTGAGAAGCGATATATATGTTAGGTAATTTATTAACTGCATATTGGCATCAATTAACAACTAAATGCTGCTACAAAGTGAAGTTTAATTTTTTTTATTTTGTTTTTAAAGACAGAAATGAAGTGAAAAGAGAAGTAATTTTATATCTTTGAAAAATTTAGTAAAAAAAAAATGTTTGAAGAATAAAGTTGTGGTAATTAATTATTTAACTTCCCTATATATATTTTACATATTCAAAAATAGAGTTATTAATTAGTCATTCAATATTTCTGTAATTTATTACAAATATCTTCATAATAAATCGTCTTATCTAGACAGTTCTGAATTATACAAAATTGAAGATATAATAAAAATTGAGACAGCTATATCCACAACAATTATAGTCACATGAAGATACTATACAGTCAATATCACAATCCTCATAAATCTCAAATTAGTTTTTCTAAAAGATACATTAATAAACTTTTTTTAAAACATGTACATTTTATTACCTTCCCATTTTCCTGTTCTATCAAACTACCTTATGAATCACGTATGGAGAATAATTAAGAATTTATTCCAGTTAAAAGATATATTTATGCAAATTTAAAAATAAAAACAGTTACAAAAATGTACAAAATCTACTCAGTCTAAACAACCTAAGTTAGTACCTAAAACAAACAAAGTCGGAAATACATCTGGAAGTGCAATTAATTTTTTTGTGTCTGGTCTATCATCAGGATTGATTTGCAACATCAAATCGATTATTTCCTGCATTTGTTGACCATATTTTTTTGTATTAACTATTTTCTTTCTTCCACTGGCAATTGACAGGACAACGTTTGACACCTACAAAGTGATTAAAAGTGGAAACATAAATAAAATAGATTGTGTAACATAGCGTGTCAAAAATGAAAAATGCGTATCCTTCGTCAAAATTTAAAACATATAAATATTTTTCTAAAGTTCTTTCCAGATATATGGCAGTAAAAGTTAATAAAAAATGTTATATGATTTTAAGGCTTTCACATCCCATGCTAATACTTAGAGTGTCATATCAGAGACTGGTTAATGCCAGTTAGACTTAACTACGAATGTTTGACCTGCCATTGCTGTTCTTGGGCTAGGCTCTGTGAGGACAAACCCGCAATCGGAATACCCTAGGCCTGCCCCACAGGGCTTAGATTGAAAATAACAATAGTACACGGAAATTAGCAAATAGAAGAAAAAAATTAAAATAAGCTGATATTTTCTGAATCGACAGTTGATAGGGGTAACGATATAGGATCGAAAAGTTCCCATCCCTAACTGGTGAGATTCATCCCCTTTTCACCCTTATAATGACACCATGCTGGTTTTTCAATAATATCTTGAAAATGTGATATTCTACGAAAAATAGATGTATTGAAAAATAGTCAGAATAAAATTTTCTATAAAACATGCCCAATAGGTCGTTTGCGGATTATCAAGGCTTTTCACGGCAAAGTTAGGGGTAGGTAACAAAAACGCTTTTGGATGGCAACACAATATTTATCCAGCCTTACTAATATTCTGTTTTGTAGCATTCGGTTTCAATAACTTTTTATAAATTTCATAAGAGCCAAAAATAGTCATTAGCGATTTCTAAACCAAACTCGTTTCCACACCACCCAGGACGGAGAGATTGTCGGTGCGTTTTTTTATGAGGTTTCCCCTTGAGGTCTACTCCACTAAAGGCATTTATTCTTGCTCAAATTATCATTATCATTAAAGCATCCTTGGCCATTACAGTTCATATACATAACCGAACATTTTAAACCAACCTTAAAACATCCTCACCGCTTTCCGCAGCCCTTTTTTGCAGGCACATGAAATTCACTCTACAATTGATAAGGGACCTGGTGCTTCAGTAGTCAAAACAGGTATTAAAATATCACCTGATTTTTTCCATCCTTATTCTTCTGGCTCTAAAATATTTCCATGCCAAGTCTGAATTTGGTGGTAAACCCGCAACGAATCTTGTTGCAAAGCTGCAAACGTGGGGGTAGCATTGCCAAAGTAACCGTTTGACTAGAATTGCCAACCGAGGTGAGAACATACCTCTGATAATTTATTGACATTTTATTTTTTTGTGCTTTATATAGTTCAAGAGTAAATATTTCCCTAGCCTCAGTAATATCCTGTTTTGTAGCATTTGGTTTGTTAAGGTTTTAACAACTTCTTGTAAATTTGTTTCTGGGCTTAATAAGTTAATAGTTTGGAATTTGCCTTTTCCAAAAAAAGCAAACGTCAATGTGTATTAATTGGGCGCTTAGGATTGTGTTGGATCATTTGAAATATTATCGGGCTGCTTTGTATTCGATTAAGTACCGTATTCAATATAATGAGACTTTCATTTTTGTTTAACCCTACAGTTTCCGATTTAATCACATAAAAGTAATAGAAAAATCGATACATACCTTAGAACTTTTTTGTAGAGAATTGTGTTACAAACCTCTTTCTATACTTATGTTTTTTCTCAAAGAAAAATGATTTAAAAGATATTGTAAAAAATCCAGTGTGATGTCCCTAAAGGGGGTGAGATAGAGATGAAACTTACCACTTACAGGTGGGAACTTTTTTGATATGTACAGGGTGATCCATTAATGGTATAGAGCGGCTGTAATTGGAAACCAGACATGCTACGATTATGGGGTAAAAAATCTATTAACAAATACAGCCAAAAGAAATTGATTTAAAATATTTTCAAGTTTGTAACTTCACCGCTAGGGGGCGCAACTGCTATAGTGTTACAGAAAATTGTCGGTTTTTCGAAATTTCGCCTATATAACCGAAGTTGAAAATGTACTTTTTAGATACACTGTTAAGCCCTTCACAAGTTTTGTTTGAACTTTTTTTTTTGTTATTACCATAGCAACGCCAGTATGAAGGACGCCATCTTGAAATTTTTAAATTGTCATAACTTCTGAATGCCTTAATCGATTTATAGTAATAATAATAATAATAATATTTTCCTGCGCAACGCTAGACGACGCTAATGAGAAAAGTTTTGTAATTGTCTCCGTTTGCTAAAAAAATTAAATGCAACGATATAGTTATTTTTTCATGGCTTTTCCTTCATTAAGGAAAACAAATACACAAACCGGAGGTCGATATCTTTTTTCATTTTCAAGTTATTGCTAAAATAGAGAAGTTGTGCTAGAACATCTTTCTTTATTTAGTTCTCTAAATAACATTGACATAATCCAAGCCAAAAATAAATTGTAATTAATTGTAAACCTACACCTATCTTGTCCTTAAAAACAATTGCTTTATTTTTAAATTTTTTTAAATATAGGTACAATTTTTAATTTTTTTATTAATTCCAAATATCTATCTGAGTATTAATGATAATGACGTATAATGATTATTATTTCCATAACGAAGCAGGCTATGCCCTATAAAAATAGACAACTGAAAAATTATGCCAAACGAAATGTAACAGCTCTTGCTACGTGCAAAATTATTGTTATTTGTATTGGAAAAGTACTTGTGAACAAGGAAAATGTCTTTTACGTATGTGGAAGCGTATGATATGTAACTAATTCCCTAACACTTATTTGGGGATTTACATGGACACAAGCCAACACATTAATAATATTATCTTCCGTTCTTGTACGGCGATGTCTTACAGAAGTAGTGGCGTCTGGATAAACGCTAAAATACTTCTCTTGAGTAGCGTATTCTATGAGGGTATCGCAAAGCGTATTCTCTTGAAGCTATAACAGTATTTTCCAAACATTGAAAATAAACTGCCATCATATTATACACTTCCACATACGTAAAAGGCATTTTCCTTGTTCACAAGTACTTTTCCAATACAAACAATATTTTTGCACGTAACAAGAGCTGTCACATTTCGTTTGGCATAATTTTTCAGTTGTCTATTTTCATAGGGCATAGCCTGCCTCGTTATGGAAATAATAATCATTATAAATACTCAGATATTTGGAATTAATAAAAAATAATGAAAAATTGTATCCACATTTTAAAAATTTTAAAAATAAAGCAAGTTCTTTTTAAGGACAAGATAGGTGTAGTTTTACAATTAATTACAATTTATTTTTGGCTTGGACTATGTCAATGTTATTTAGAGAATTAAATAAAGGAGGATGTTCTAGCACAACTTCACTATTTTAGCAATAACTTGAAAATGAAAAAAGATATCGACCTCCGGTTTGTGTATTTGTTTTCCCTAATGAATGGTCTATCAAGCCATGAAAAAATAACTATATCGTTGCATTTATTTTTTTAGTAAACGGAGACAATTACAAAACTTTTTTCCTTAGTGTCGTCTACTGTTGCGCAGGAAAATAATATTTTTATTCCATTATCATAAATATAAATTTTATGAATAGTTCTTTAAAATGAGCCATCATTTATTGAAATCGATTAAGGCATTTAGAAGTTATGATAATTTAAAAATTTCAAGATGGCGTCCTTCATACTGGCGTTGCTATGGTAATAACAAAAAAAAAAGTTCAAACAAAACTTGTGAAGGGCTTAACAGTGTATCTAAAAAGTACATTTTCAACTTCGGTTATATATTCGAAATTTCGAAAAACCGGCAATTCTCTGTAACACTAGCAGTTGCGTCCCCCAGCGGTGAAGTTACAAACTTGAAAATATTTTAAATCAATTTTTTTGGCCATATTTGTTGATAGATTTTTTACTCCATAATCGTAGCACGTCTAGTTTCCTATATACAGCCGCCCGATATCGTTAATGGATCACCCCGTATTTTTACACACATAAGCTAACTATCCTAGAATTTCAGCTTATTATAATTTTTTTGTACTACAAGGGCAAGTCGAATATTTCTATTTAAAGGCTTGTGGGCACTAACAAGTAAATTAGCCAGGGTAGCTCTTAGACATCTCTCGTGGAACTTGGTAGAGCGAAGTTCCTAGAGCAAAATTTCCGACAGGTCTGGAAATATTTACGTAAGTGAACAAATTGGCTACCAAGAAAGGTATATGAGGGATAAAGAAGAGGGATCTGTTAATAGTGTGTCCTGAAATATGGGATGTTTATAGCAAGGACTATGGAAACGGAACTGAAAAACAAAATGCTTTAAAGAAGCAATTTTATCTTTTGAAAAAACAAAATTTAAGTTTAATATTTCCAAGTTTAATTTAGTTATTTACTTAGCAACAGGTAATCTCAATACAAGGACTAATGAAACGAAAATTTATCGTTTTAATAACTAAATGTCTGATAAAAAATTAATCAAAAAGTTACATTTGATTTATCATAATGTGATCGACATAAATTCAAAGAAGAGTACATAAGTCAAATAAAGCAAAAGTTTAAAAAATAAAATAAGCAGGCAACGAATAGAAAACTGGTTTATAGAAGTTCATAAGAATTTTATAATGCTATTAATTCTTTGGATATTTCTACACTTAATTTACTTAATATTTTATGAGTATATGAACAAACATTGGCCACGGCATAACAATCCGAAAAACCATGCTACTTTAAGAATGTCTAAATATTTTCTGAAGAAATCAACTTATGGGATCAAATGATAATATGATAAATATCATTTGACTTGAAAATATTAAGTCTGACTCAAACTAATTACATTTGCCGTTATTTTGCAATTTCATAAAATAACCTTTTTTTCTAGTAACATGCCGTAATTTTTGAGGAAAATGTTACTAGGACTCATCATAATTATGTAAACCATTTTGAATATCATTTTATTGATGTTTTGTGTATTAAAATTTTATTTCAACATATTTATTTGTTCAGAAAATATTTAGATACAATCTCAAGAAAAAGATCCTTAAGTCCAAATATTTATAAAATAAATTCTTAAATTTACACAAAGAAAACGTTACGTCATTTTACAAGCTGTGTATTTGTTAAATATGTTATTTAATGTTCACATTGTTTTTTAAGTGGAGGTGTAAAAGGTTTTACCGTTCCATCAAACATTTTTTCCATTGCACATAATTCATACAAAATACATCCAAGGGACCATATGTCTGATTTACTATTGTATGGTTTTCCGTCACATAACTCTGGAGCCAAGTAATTGCATGTACCAATTATTGTATTTGCCATATTGTTGCTAAAAAAAATATATTTACGAATTTATAGTCATGCATTAGGAATAGTAATAATAAGAGCACCCTTTCAAAATAATATTTGCCCGTATTTGATATATTTGTTTACATTTAATTTGGTACTACAAGGTATGAGATATGAAAACAAAATTTTCAAAATTCCATTAATTTAAAAATTAAATTAAGTACATTATATTTTACTTACTTTAAAAGTGTTTTAGAAATTCCAAAATCCCCTATTTTGATAACATCACCTTTCAGCCCTGTTAGAAAAATATTTTCACATTTTAAATCTCGATGAATTACTTTTTTTTCATGAATGTGATCCAAGCCCATTAATATTTGACAAAATAGATTCATTACATGCTGAAAAATGTATAGAATATATGGTATGTACAAATGAAACAATATATAAATAAAATACACATACAGAGTGGCGTACACAAGGGAAATATAAAGATTTTTTTTCATTACAACAGCTGGGATAATCACTAACAAGCAACTGTTGAAAGACGCCTCTGCTTTTCAGATTGAGCGTTAAAGTAGAAGATTCTACAACTATACGTATACTTTTGTTTTCATCTCTCAACTATCCGAAGAAGGGCTCTGTAAGCCATGATTCACTCCCATGGCAAAATTGTGTGTATGCCACTGCATATAATAAAAATATCATATGAGTATAAATTCTTAGTATATTAATCAAGATGAAGAGTTTCTTAAAAAAAAATTAATAATTGAATTTTAAGACAGCATGACACTACTGCTTGTGCTTTTATTGCTATTTGCGCCAAGAAAGCTAGAGAAATACAGTGTTTTTCTAGCAAAACTTTAACAGTTGTTAGAAGACCTATTCTTTTTAATAAAAAAACTTCTGCAATAATGCAATTTTTGTTTTTTTTTATTTTTTTTTGTAATGGAATAACGGATCCTGATGTTCTGTTGAGTAAGTAGGTATATGACCACCAATACACCATTTAAATTTCGCCAGGGGTTTTAGATGTACACTCGCTTATGAATCATCCATTATATTGCTGTACTGGATAATTCACTTAAGAATGCTCAATGTTCATGAAAATTATTATCGACTATTTTCTTAAAATTTGTGCGGATCATTGATTTTTTTTAAAATGCCATGGAGAACTTTTTTCAGTTACCTGCTGCATCTTCGCCGCTATGATTAAGAAAAACATTATTTTTCCATAATACTACCGCAATTAATAATACTCGTATAAAGAAATGTACCAAGTTTCATCTGGATCTGGTGAACCATTTTGGAGTTATTTAAAAAAATGTGTTTTAGCTGCGCAAGTTTATGAGCCAGTAACTTTTTTACTTAGCATTTTCGGATACATTTTCATAGGAAATGTTTTGCTTAAAACAACATTTCCTATCTTCTCTTTCAGTTTGACACCGTATGTATATACGAGGTTTGATCAGAAAGTAAAGTGAATTTTCAAATTGTGCGTGCTATCTTGTATATCGAGTTGATTCTTTTTTGTATATTGGTAGCACTGATTAAATAAATACCTTCTGAGGAAATTAACAATTCCCGTTACTTTTTGATAAAACCTCGTATAACTATTAACTTATTGATACACAAATCAGATTCCACTGTATACATACTTATGATTATGCAGTAAATTGCTTCAAGGGGTTTGCTTCCTCTTAACAAAACGGTAGGTATATAAACTTACTTGTGCAGAAAAATGATTAGGCCTGGTGCTGTAAATCAATTCATACAAACTTCCTTTACAAGCGTACTCCATAACTATGTAGAAAGTTCCACTTTTTATGAAGCTGTCATAATATTGAATAATATTCGGGTGATTTAACGATTTCAATATGGTCACTTCATTTTTGGCTGCCTGGAGTTGGTCTCCTTGTAAATCTGTATTAATTTGTTTTACAACAATTTTTTGCTGATTATGTTTCCTCTCACACAAATGGATTGTTCTAAGATATGTAGAGAAGCAAAATGTTATTTATTTCAAATTCATATTAAATCTGTACTTAGTGGTCCGTCACAAGTGTCACTTTCTATATTCTTGTTTTTTTTTTAAATGCAATGCTATATATTTTTACATATTTGGCTAGGATATTTTCTACCAATTACAGCGATATAGAGTTTTATGAATCTATCTCTAATAGTAAGGGAGGTATAAATATTTAATTTACGATGGTTTTCGAGTTGCTATACCTTGGACTATACCAGATCGTTGTCAGTTACAGACTTACATTGCACTTCCTCAGCCTTAACTAGAAATCTTGAACCTGCGCTTATTGTTATTGGGTATTGAGTCAGTTGTGGCAAAGCTTTTGCAGAGTTACCCACTGAAGATGCCGACAGTGAAGAACGGCGAGACGTTGAAGCATTGGATGCAACCAGTTACAGAGATCACAATGGAACATCTCAGACTCTCAGAGCTGTTCCACACAGTGCCTAGCCCGAGAACAGCAAGCGCAGGCCCAAGATTCCTAGCTAAAACTAAGGAAGTAAGTCGGTACATAGGCCACCTGGTACATAGGCATAACAATCCGAAAAACCATCGTACATGAGCGGTGGAAACCTCTTTGTGAGATATAGATATTCAAAAGAGCATAACTTTTTAGAAACAGACTTGGTTGTTTAACAAGTCTATATTTTTTTCTATCATATTAAAGTCATATAGCACACTCTTTTGGACATATATTATCTTCTTTCCTATTAGAGATAGATCTATGAAACCTTATATGTCTGATATAATCATAAGAAAATGTCGTGTCCAAATATGTAAAAATATACAGGGTATTCCATTAAAATAAAAATTATACTTCTACATGTTTGTTCATAATCTGATGCTCAGTTTAAAATATTTCCTATAAATTTTGTTGTTATACATTTTTTGATACATCGAAAAATAAAGAAGAAAACACAATGGCGAACCATGCTGTACATACCTAAACTTAATTCAACAGAAATTAAACTGTGATATTAAACATTTTGGTATATTTCTCAGTATAGAAACATGTTTTAAGTTGAACCAAAGCTATATTGTCTGTGGTTGAACAATAAAACTAATTTTCTAGCCTCACTTTGTATATTTCAGTGTAGGTAAGAAAGATATTTGTATACAACAACATTACATTATAATTTTACGTACAGGGTGTTTAAAAACATGTGTCATAGCTTTGGGAATTTACCGAATTCAAAAATAAGGCCTCAAATAGTACCTATGAACATGGGTCAGTTTTTGCATCATTTATGACATTTATTTTTTTTCAAAATATCTTCGAAACGACTAAGTAATTTGAATGACATTTGGATTACGAAAACTATTACATATAAACTCATTTTTTAGCAATTTTTTTGTACAGTAATGTAATAATTTTGTGGGTTTATTTTTTATTTAAATTTACTTGAAAATGATCACAGCAAATTTGATTCAAATGACTTGAAGTTTTTTCAAAAATATCGAAAACATAAAAATTAACACTGTACCTCTGACTGTAAGTCAAATTAATAAAGGTAGTTAATCGGAACTTTTTGTCTTATTTTAAATGAAAAATCTATCCTCGTGTTATGGACACATGTAGATTTTTATTTTATATTGTGATTACCTACTGATTAACAAAAACAATTTTTTTTTTACTTTAGTCCAGAAACATAAATTTTCAAAAGTGATTTTTATTCTCATAAAACTAATTTGAACCAACGCGTAGCAAAATAATGTAGCACCAAGTACACTGTGCAACAACTCAATTTAATTTTTGGTCTATGGAAATGGAACTGACGAATTGTTCTCGGGCAATCATTGATATTTGTGTTGTATACGTGCATTTCTTGTAGTAATATACCTATATGTAGTTGCTTTGTTGTAATATATGTGGGATGTGGTGTTTAATATTAGACTCTTGAAGTAACCAACTTATTTCCTATGGACACAACAGAGCCTTTTTCTACTTGATGAAAACAGAACAGTGAAAAGTAATCAGTATCAACATATTTTAATAGAAATCTTATTTCCCATATTTCTGATATAAAACTTTACGATTGTTATTAGATTGCAATAATAGTACAATTCCCTGGATAAGTACCTATCTGTTGTAAATAGCTGCACACATTACAAAACTATTTACATTTCACCATCGTTTTATTTTGTTCTGTTTCGAATGAGTTTTGATAAATAAGAACTTATGAATTTAACCAATAGGTGCAACAATGGTTAATTAAATCCATTTCTAGAAACAAAAGGGTACTGGTGGTATAAACTATATAATAAATTGGTTGCAATATCAAACTATATAATATATTGTTGCAAAATCAAGTTTAACAGGTAAGCAAACTAATTACAATAATTACATAACGAAAGGGTACCTATTAGTAATTAGACCATATGTTTACTAGGTGTTAAAAAGAAAATGATAAATAGTTTATATATTCTCTTTTTTGTTCTCCCTTAAGAACAGCATTTATTAATTTAGAAGATATTAGTATGTTCTCTATATTTCACAGCAATTTTTTACATTACGTACAGGGTGAACAAATATTGACATGTTTCTCTTTTTTTCGGAAAACATAAACTAGGATTCTTTGCCTTTTTATTAAAATAATTGGTACTTACCCAAATGTTCCTTTTCCCAGTTGTTTGATAATGTTGTACAGATCCATGATCTAAATAAATCAATATGAAACACACGCAATTTATGAACCAAAACTTCTACACTGTTGACTGAATACCTATAAATATAAACCATTTGGGACTTTTTCAGATTAAAAAATTAAAAAAGATCAACTTTTTTTGTAACTTTTTTATTAAAACAGTTATTATCACAATAAAAACAGTAAATAGATATCCATATTTACACTAATAAAATTACGTACTTAATAAAGTAAACCTAGGTTACTCTCTATTATTTTAAGAATTAAATTCCTAAAATATTAAAGAGTTACCTACTAATTACAAAAAATGTTACAGCATTTCAGAAATACTTTTGTCTGATATTTCTTTTAAATAGATGAATAAACAAGTTCAAGAACTAACATTATTATTTTTTGTATTTAAACGAAAATGAAAAAATAATAAGGTAACGAATATTTAGAATTTTTTACAATTGCTTTTAATTTTAAATTACTACCCACGAAAATATTAACAGAGAGTTTTTTTTAATGTAATATTTAATAAATTGTGAGTTCCGTGTTGGTCCTGAATAATGGTTTCCTTTTTGCAATATTGCCAGCTGAAAAAGAAAACGGGTCTTTATTAAAATTTCGGTCACAGACGAAAATATGAAACAAAGTTATAGGCTCGATTATAGGGCAACAAAGGAAAATGCCCATGTATTAAATGAATCGAGATATAGAAATGCGGTTGAAAAATCGAGTCCGTGATACATTAAAATTTTGTCGAATTTGGCCCACTTTGTACATAAACGTACGAGTATTTCTGTAATCGTATTCCGGTTACATTAAGGTACATTACGTGTTATTAAAATATGTATATTTTAATTTTAGACAAATTTTTGTTTTTCTTATTGCAATACAAATTTTGAATGATCTAAAAAATAACTAATAAAGTGCGCAACGGGCCCATTAGCTCAGTTGGTTAGAGCGTCGTGCTAATAACGCGAAGGTCGTGGGTTCGATCCTCCCATGGGCCAATGTTTTTATCAACTTTAAAATGTAACAATTACGTAATATAAGACGTAAAACAATTTCGAGAGTTGGATAGTTTTATGATAAGATATTTTATAATCGTTCTTCATACCAAGTACTCAAGTAGTGATAAGTAGTCTTATTAAACTTATTTGAAACTATTGATAAATCTTTAAAAAATTCTTTCTATATACAAAATTTATATTAAATAGCATTTTTTGACGGAATGTAATTCCAAATAGTTTGAATCTGCTTCAATTTCTTTGTGCAAAACTCTATTCGTTTTATCTCTTATCATTGTAAGAACTCATTGTACATATCCGATATGGTCTAGTGGCTAGGATACCTGGCTTTCACCCAGGAGGCTCGGGTTCGATTCCCGGTATCGGAATAATTTTATTTTTTTAAGGAAAATGTGACATGTCTATACTTATTTTTACTTACTTTGTTTTGTTTATAATATACACCAACTAGTACTTGCTCTAAATAATTTTTATTGTATAAAGAAATGGATTTATAAAACTTATTATTTAATGATCAGAAAGTTTCCCGTGGAAAATAGGTCTTTGGAATAAACTTCTCCAATCCGATATGGTCTAGTGGCTAGGATACCTGGCTTTCACCCAGGAGGCTCGGGTTCGATTCCCGGTATCGGAAACTTTTTGAAAAAAATGTAATATAACCATTTATTTCATTTTGTTCAGTTTCATTTTTTATTCATTTTGTTCTAATAATAATTATTATATCTGTGTTTTAAAATTAGTGATGTTTTAGTGATTTATATCTACCGAGTGAGCCAAATAATTTTGATGTAATAAATTACCGAATCCTGATTTTATTAACTTTGTTTTGCCATGTTATTACCACAAACTTACATTTATCGAGATATTGATAAGTATCGTAATCAACTGCCCTTTTAAGATGAAGTTTGAATTTTCAATACGTTTTTTAATTTATTTTTGTTTAATTAATTTTCACATATTTTGAACAATTCATTACGAACCAACTCAATTTTTGTATTTATAGTGCTACAACATACAATTTGAATAGTTTTTTTTTAAATATATACCTATACAAACTAACATAATCAAACCGTCATTTTTCGACAAACAAAAACATTAATTCGGTACTCCACTGTTACTTTCTGCATTAGAGACATACAGCATTAGAATAAATTACAAGAGGTCAGTCTACCTAATGTTGACATTGCCCACAGTTTTAGGAGAAGTCCGCGGCCAGAGGGACGTCATCAGATCTAAGAAGAGGCACCTCAAAAAGAACCTGTTAGTTCATTTTACTTAAGAACCTGTTATATCTCTGATATCTGTAATGGATTTCAAATATAACTTCATTTTCATATTTTTACTCAAACACTAAATTGTGAAATATATAAATTTGATTCTTTCTGAAATACCAACGACTAATAAATATATACTATTTGGTATATATTTTTGGATAGGTGTTTTAGGCACTGTGAAAAATTGTTCAAAATTTCTTCTAGTGATACCTGAATACGAAAATACAGACCTGGCTGAAGGGTTGCGGGGCTTAAAGCGTCCATTAAATTTTTAAAGAAGCTACATTTTTTTTGCAAAAAATATTCCTGAAGCACTAAAAATAGATATTTACAAAAAGACAGGTCGTTTCGGTGGGACATTTTACCTGCCAGGTGAATGAGAATGTAATTATGTACAGGGTGATTCACTTTTTATGATTAGGACTTTAACCATCGATAGATCTCGTCAAAATAATGTCATTTTGAAGCATACACTTTTTCTTTCAAAGGCTTCCTTTTAGAGATACCTATAAGGGTCGCTCAAGCCCTGCAACCCTTCAGCCAGGTCTGCATGTTCGTAATCAGGTATCACTAGAAGAAGTTTTTAACAATTTTTCATAGTGCCTCAAATACCTACCCAAAAATGTTTACCAGCTCTTGGACTATAATTAACAATTCGTGAAATACGATTGACCAATCTGAAATATAATTATTGACGCCTTCTGAAGTACATCTGGAAAAGGTGTAACAATAGATACGAAGGATACTATTGTAATACAAGTATACAAGAACCTGAATTTTGAAATTTAATAAGTAATTTGACTTACCTATTTCCGAACATATCACGAACGATTAGCTTGTCTATATACAATACGGGCGCATAATCTGTCTGATTCCGTTTGTTTTTTTCTTGTCCCATATCATGGTACTTTAAAACTCCTGTAAGGGTATCTATGTCACTAGTCAGTGAACCATAATCAGCTACTGCCAGAGAATTCATTATCGTACCATGCGCTGTCCTACAAGTAAAGAAAATATTTTTCTTGATTAATTAAATATCTCGATATATCTCGCAATATTAATATCTAGTTGATAGTGGAGGACAAAGCATTAAACTTAAAAACAGTTTTCTAGAAAATATAAAAAATAATCACTTACTCGCATTTAATGTGGAAATTTACAGAATGGTTTAAATAATTCAGCTGTAACTGTAGAATGCCTTTAACGTACGCAGTTTGTTGTGAAATTATCGCTGAAGCTTGAAGTTGTGTACCTGGAAAATCACTAAAAAGTGCTGAATATACTCGCTAAAAAAATAAGGATTTAGGTATAAAATTTAAAAAATGGGAACGTGAGCTATTTTACATATTTTTTATCCACACAATGATTCAGTTTTACACGAAGAAAATTGAAATATCGATGGTAAACATATACTTTGAAGAATTACGGCAATTTGCTGTTAGATATCTGATCTAAGTAGTCTTGTTACATATATAAAAAAAGTGTGGATCATGGGATCTATGTACAGCAGTTGTTAAAAATAAACAAATAAAAGTTGTTGTAAAAGAACATTACGAGAGAGTATAATTTTAATAAAAATCTAAAATGTTATGGAAAGCTGTTATTCATTGTATCCACCTGTGGCGAGAATGTCGACTATAAGAATAATGATGTCTCATGCGTTACAGAAAAAGTGGATTAAAAAGCAACTTGATATCCCAACAGCTTTTTTAAACGGAATTTTGAAAAATGATGTGTTTATATATACTCCGGAAGGTTTGAAGACTGAAACAAAGGTTCTTAAACTAAGAAGAACTCTATGGATTAAAAGAGTCTCCAAAAGTATGGAACGATAGATTGAGTGAATTTGCAATTGAAAATAACTTAAGAAGGTCTGATTACGACTCTTGTCTTTATTTCAACGATGTAGTATGGATGGTAGTTTGGGTAGATGATATTTTATTAACTGGTCTTGAAGCAGATGTTGAACAAATCATACAGCTATTGAAGCAAGAATTTAAAGCTAAAAATATGGGTGAAGTACAAAATTTCCTGAGTATGAAAATTATTAGAACTGAAGACACAATTTCTATATCACAAGAAAAGATAATAGAAAAAGTTTTGAAACTATATAATATGGAAAATTGTAAAGGCATGGAAAAAGGATTTCAAGTAGGTAATAATGAAGAAGTCATAGATGTGCCATTTAGACAAATTATAGCATGTCTATTATATATATCAACAATCTCACGTCCACATATTACCTTCAGTGTATCATATCTAAGTACAAATCTAGACAAACCAACTAATCAAACATGGAAAGCTGGAAAAAGAATTATAAGGCAACAAAGAATAAATGTCTTGTATATAAGAAGAAGGCAAATTGAGAAGATCCAGTAGTGGCATATTGTGATGCCAATTGGGCAACAGATGTAATAGACAGGAAGAGTGTTAGCGGAGGTATTATATTTTGCTATGATAATCCAGTAAGTTAGTTCTCCAAGAAGCAAAGCTGTGTAGCTCTTTCGACAGCAGAAAGTGAGTACATGTCCGCTGCAGCTGTAGCTCAGGAGTTAGTGAATATAAAAGGAATCATGGACTGTTTTAAAGTAAACTGTAAACCAGTGTTATTGTGTGACAAAGTGCCATACAAATGTCAAAAACTTTTAAAAACTCGAAAAGGACGAAACATATAGATATTAGGAGTCATTTCATAAGAAATCTAATAAGCAACGAAGTTATCGATATATTTATCGATATATATTTCTTCATCTCAAAATGTTTCCGATATGTTAACAAAGCCGCTGAGTAATGAAGTGTTTTATAGATTAAGAGATAGGGCTAAAGTATTGTAGTGTAGACAATTTATTATTTTAGTAAAATATTAAATTGAGAAGGAGTGTTAGATATCTGATCTAAGTAGTCTTGTTACATATATAAAAAAAGTGTGGATCATGGTATCTATGCACAGCAGTTGTTAAAAGTAAATAAATAAAAGTTGTTGTAAAAGAACATTACGAGAGAGTATAATTTTAATAAAAATCTAAAATTTGGTTTCCTCACTTTGCTGACATGATTTTCTAACAACATGACAATCAATTACGATTATGGACAAAACGTCACATTTTTTTACAACACGGGTGTCCCTCAAGTTTCAGTATTGGGCCTTTGCTATTTATTTTGTTCATAAACGATATTGTGAATGATCTGCATTGTCCATCTCTTCTTTAATTACAACTATTGTGTTATATTAAGATAAGATTGTTTATAACTTTGAATATTTTCATAGTTTCCTCTCTTTTATTTAGACAAATCTGGTAACGCTATTTAAGAGGCTGTATAGCTGTGTCAGACTAAGCTTACTCTAAAAAAGAAGCCAGAAACTTCTAATTTATCCGCAACGAAAATTTGGATTTCCTCAGAAACGGCATTTTTTCTAAGAAATGTGGTGCAAGCCACATCGAAATCGAATCGTTATTGTGGAATCTCGTTTCAAAATATCCATTGAGAGGCTTCTTAATGATCTATCCAGCTGCAAAGTTCCCTCTTGAAAGTTTTTATTGAAATGCAATTCATTTTCTAGTCTATGAAATATTCTTGAACTTACCACAGTACTGACTAGAATCTTTGGTGGAAAAATACATAACACCCTCTCCCTTAGCATCTTCGCCGAATCTCCCAATATCACTTAGATAACTTGGATCTAAAACCAGTGAGCTATTTTTCTCTATCTGAGGAAAGCAGTAGCCTTTTTCGAAAGACGTCAGTCCTCCGGGGCAAGTGAACGACGTAAATTCGCAAATATCCTTATTTTCCTTCTTCTTCAGCATATTCAACACGGATTCTGTGTACAGAAAGAACGCCCTTAGGTGACTACATGCTATGTCTCGTGACAAACCACCTTCTGCAATTAAAATACTATCTATAAATGCATTGTAATGAAAATAAGATCAAAAAATATTTAAAGTACGAATGAAATTTTCAGATAGTAATGGTGCCGCGGTGCCGCCATTACATCAAACATACTTTCTCATAAGTCCTCGGTAGTATAGTGGTAAGTATCCCCGCCTGTCACGCGGGAGACCGGGGTTCGATTCCCCGCCGGGGAGACTTTCTTTTTGTTTAAAAATATCCCCTCGATGATAGAATTTTAAAATTACAATATTATTTTGTAGAGATAGAATTCCAAGAAAAGTATAAGCCAATAAATTGAAATTTTCCGCCAATGTCTTTCTACCTCGGGTGTCGAATGCGGTTAATTCCAAGAAAGTGGCGCGGGGGTCTCCTTGGAATTCTATCTCAACAAATATCGTACGGACTGTATGTTAAAAACAAAATGACATTCATTTGTTTATAGAATAAAAATGTTGAGTAATATTTAAAGTGATATTTTATTATTAAATCCCTGTATTTAATAAAAAAAGATATGAGATCAAGTCCTCGGTAGTATAGTGGTAAGTATCCCCGCCTGTCACGCGGGAGACCGGGGTTCGATTCCCCGCCGGGGAGAACTTTTTTATTAAAAATAACTCCTTTGGTCTTACCATCATAGAACGAGCCAATTTTAATTTTTCATTTATATGTGTAGGTGTGAAAAATATACATTAAATTAAATATACCAAAAATAAATTAACACTGATTTATTTATTGAACTAGCAACCCGCACCGGCTTCGCACGGGCAAATATAAAATAGCCTATGTTACTCCGAGAAAATGTAGCTTTCGGTAAAATTGGTTGAGTAGTTTTTGAGTTAAATTGTAACAAACAAAAAATCAATCATCTTTCATCTAATGCGACCATGATATTAATTTTAAAATAATTCACAATATATCTATATACCTAAAGACATCAAACGAACTCAAAACTAAAAATGCAAAACCTTTAAAAAAACAATATAGGTTACCTACTACCAACAATGTGAAAACAAAACGAATTAAATTAAAGTACCTATGTTCAGGACTATCAATTTTAATTAATAAGTAAGTAGTTAGGTAACTAACTACCTAAAGAAAACAAACACGAAACAAAAATGCGACTATGAAGTTTTAAATGATTCACAATAAGAAAAAAAAACAAACAAATTATTAAAACTCAATGAAATAAAAGTATGTTTGCAAGTATCTATGTATATTCCGACTACCTAAAGACAACAAATACAAAACATAAATGTGACCTTAAAATATCGAACGCAATTATAACTTTCCAACAACACCCAGAAAGAAAACACAGTTGTCAGTCGTCACCTCCATTCGCTCCAAATCAGTTTATTAAAGGATCAGGTGCGCGTTATCGTTCGGTTTATTAGCTAAACAGTAGGCAAGACGGTGCGGGGGGAGGGTCGGCGATCTCATCAAGCGAAGCGAGGCGCTTGAATTTTATTCTCGCGTCCGTAATTTTTTTGCGATTACTCCTAAGATATTCATTTAAATTATATGCCGTAAAAGAGTAAAATAATGTGCATGAAATGCTTAAAGCCTGTAACTTATTTAAAATGATAAGGATTAATACCGTATTTGTGTAAATAGCTTTTACATTACTGCTTTATAATTGCTATTTTTTTTTAAGTATTAAAATGGATATAGGTAGTATGTTATCTTTAACATATAGACATATCGGGTTTTATCTTCGCAAATTTCGAGATTTTCGCCTTCAGGATTGTCGTTAAATGCTTTTAGGTATCATTCTAACAATCGATGTCACCCTTCATCAAGAAACTGGATATTTTATATAACCAAAGCTATATTAAATTTGTATAGGGTTAGTTATAAAACACAGGGTAATACGTAGTATAAATTGTTATTAAGAAATAATTTTATTAAAAAAAAAAATTAAAAGCTTCTCCCCGGCGGGGAATCGAACCCCGGTCTCCCGCGTGACAGGCGGGGATACTTACCACTATACTACCGAGGACTTAATTTTTTAATTTTTTTGTATTCAATAATGAATTCGAAAATATGAAAATATCACTTTAAATAATAATCTTATTAATTGGTCAGCATTTCCATATATAAGTGCTAATTTTTGATATAGCTTATTTTGTAGCTTCTAATTTTAAAACTGCACTAGCCACGACCGTCTGTTAGTTGAAGACGGCCGTGCACCAGCATCTTGACCAGAATTGGTGAGTTAATTGAAAAAAAAAGTCTCCCCGGCGGGGAATCGAACCCCGGTCTCCCGCGTGACAGGCGGGGATACTTACCACTATACTACCGAGGACTTAATCACACAAATCTTTGTGGTGGTGGTGTGTGAACCGCAGATAACTTACATTGTCATTCAGTTTCTGAAACAACTCGAATAGATTCTGCACACAGGTGTTAAATGTGTTAAATTAAAAATGGGACACAGCCCAATGGAAGATTCCTGGGATTAATATAGTGTGACTGAGATTCAGTATCTACTAATATCTCTGAGACGTATAGGATAGTCAGAACAGCATTAGAAGTTATTTTTTTCTTACATACAGCAAACACTGTCATGAAAATTAACACAATTGTTCCCAAAATTGGAATAACAACAAATTGTATTAAACTGTATTGGTAATAATTTCACAATTGTAAACATAATCACAATGCAAACGTCAAATTTTGACACATTTTGTTCCAGTCATCATTTTACGAATAATTGTGTGAATTTGCATATTTTTTTTTGTGTTTAATGTACAGAGTGATTCTTTTATCATGGGAAATGAGTTTTTCTCGTAAACGGCTGCAGCAAATTGAGTTCTGTAAAAAGTATTTTATTTGGGCTGATTGATGCTTGAAATTGCGATGGATATGAAAGTTATAATTAAGCGACGCTGGGCGTCGCGACGCTTCAAGATTTTTTTTGTCAGAAGCATACCATTTTTATTTCAGAAATTGGAAGATCTATTGAATAGAAACACTTTTTCCAAATACCATTTTTTTTCATCTAAAACCATTCAAAAATTACAGACCAGTTTTTATGTGTTAAATTGGTCGATTGCCATGCAAAGAATGCATGGTTTTTTAAATTTCACTAAAGCAGGTAGGCTTTGAAAAAACAAAATTGGCTTATATTAATTGATGTCTGAAATTGTCAGTGTAATTTTAATTATTTCTATTAAAATAGTAAGTAATAAGAAATATATTTACACATTCAGAAAAAGTTGACATGCTTTTGTTATACGGAGAAGCCCAAAAAAATGCTTTAACTGCAAGAAGATTATACTTGGAAATTAACGTTGGGTTCTAACTTTAAAATCACGTATATTTTAATAAAATTTTGCTTTACTGTATAAGGCTCTATGATTTGATTTAAAAACTGATCTTTCACTATTATATGGTATCTAGAGACAGTGGCCCCCAACACATATTTTTTTATCATTGTCAGATGTGCTATCAAACTGAAAATATTATTTTTTAAACATTCTGTTTCTTTAAAATAAACAGTTTTATTATATTCTGTGTTATACACAGCAAAAGTTATTTTCAAGTATTTACAGGTGGTGTTGTTATTTTAGATGGTCCCACAGAAAAAAGTCTAGTGGATTTAGGTTGGGCGACCTAAGCGTCCATAAAACAGGTCCGCCTCGATCCACCTATGGATGATTGACGCACTAAAAATGAAGTGGTGTATAATCGTGTATGTAGCTAATTTTTAACATATGCCTTGTAAATATTTGTAAACTTTTAATTTGTTTATCTTAAGCTATTTTTTGATTTGGTAAAGTTAAATAAAGCAAATTCATCAACAGAAATTAAACTCTAGTTATAGCAGTCCTTGAACTAATGTAAAAAATCTATTGATCTCTCTTTTTTAAAGGAAAATAATACTTTCTGTTCGATGTTCGTTGTTAAGCTCATTGACAGAAAGCGCTTGATACATCTTACTGGAGGAGTAAATATAAATAATAAAACATTTTGTTCTCCACAGATCTTGAAACTTGAAAAAAAATTAAACCTGTTCCATTTTGGATGGTTAAAAGCAAAGTCCAACCATTTTCTAAATAAAATGGAATATTGCAATGTTAAATGTTGAGTAGGGTTTCAAAAACAAAGCAAATTAATTTAGGAATAAGAATTTGCAATACGTACAGTTTGTTTTAACAAATCGTTTCAAAAAAGTATCCTCCCCGGCGGGGAATCGAACCCCGGTCTCCCGCGTGACAGGCGGGGATACTTACCACTATACTACCGAGGACTTAATTTCTTAGTTTTTATATTAGATAACAGATGTAAAAATAACAGAATATTACTTTAAATAGTAGCCTTATTAATTAGTCAACATATCCGTAAATGAATTAGTACCAATTTTTGATATACTTATTTTAATAAAATAAAAAACTGTACACACCACCAGTACAATGATTTAATTAAAAAAAAAAGTCTCCCCGGCGGGGAATCGAACCCCGGTCTCCCGCGTGACAGGCGGGGATACTTACCACTATACTACCGAGGACTTAATTTCTCAGTTTTTACATTAGATAACAGATGTAAAAATAACAGAATATTACTTTAAATAGTAGCCTTATTAATTAGTCAACATATCCGTTAATGAATTAGTACCAATTTTTGATATACTTATTTTAATAAAATAAAAAACTGTACACACCACCAGTACAATGATTTAATTAAAAAAAAGTCTCCCCGGCGGGGAATCGAACCCCGGTCTCCCGCGTGACAGGCGGGGATACTTACCACTATACTACCGAGGATAAGAAACATTTGCTGTAAAAGACAATACTAATTTATGTTGGGAAAAAATTGCAATTTTATAGCGTTATACACCTAATATTTTCTTTTTAATAAGACGTGCAATTAAATATACTTCTTTATATCCACTTTATGCTTAATATTTGACGTACATTTATAAAAATACACAACTAAGAATTTTTCTGAAAAACTGCTAATCTGAGAGTTGCAGCTCTTGAGTTAAATCAATTTCACTCTCACCGATTTTATGTGTAAAAATGTTGGAAACTTACAAGGTAAACAATAACTATGAACTGTCTAAATTGTTAAATTTGGATCTGTCATACTCATATAAATATGTATTTAATATTGACTGACATTGTTGTGGGTTGCATTTCTATTGGTGATGAAAAATATATCTCACTGAATTACAGGTAGCAAATGTGTAATAAATCAATTAAAGAATGGGATTAGTTGTTACAATTATTTATAACAGCTAAGTGTTAGAATATATATGGGTGTATCTGTTTAATAATTGTCTACATCTATGATTATATCTTGTACGCGTATAGGTTCTTACCAAGATGAGTGACAACTATAGATCCCTTTGTATCTGTACATCCTGGCTGTTCTTGGCCACCATTAGGGAAAAAATCCACATGGCCAATAGGTTGCCATAATCCAAATCCATCAGTTATAAACTAAAATAAAAGTTTGGGTAAGATTTTACCATATTATATAAAAAAATGTTGGCACTTCTAAGGTTGAATTGAAGCATATACAATATTAATGGATAAGTAAGTAATATTATAGATTATTTTAATACACTTACAGGACTAGCATCCGTATGAATGACATCTACAAATTTTGCATCGCCTCTGTCAAGTTTTTTGTACTTTTCTCGTAAGTAGTTGTTTCTAAATAGCGGACTTGCGGCATCTAATCCTAAACCATAAAGATGATATATACATAAAATATAAATGCTGTTACCTATATCTAGGCATTTTAGGCAGAACATTTAAGTTCTAATATCGTTCGTAAATATTTTTCTATTTTTTTCTTCTTCATTTTAACTAAATCTAACCTAATTTAATATAAGCAGCTTATAAATTAATCTATTCCATAAATAAAAATAAAACCGTTGCAAATTAAAAAAAGTCCCCTCAGGCCAACCGTTTCCGAGATACTGGCTGATGAAGAGTTAAATGCACACCATATTTTCAAATTTTATAACTATTTACGGTGAAAATTTTTTAAATTTATTTTGGACTCACGTTTATAAGAAAAGAAGTCTTATTTTGACCTCAAAAATACGCCCCCAAATTCTTTGTACTGAATTTTGATTCAGCCTGTATAACTTACATATAAATAAACAAAGACCTGTCAGATTACTACTTAGGTTGCGGAAATCCTACTCAAACACCTACTATAAAAATTTATCACTGTAATGCTTTTATATCTATCACTAATAGGCATGATAACAGTAATCAAGAATCACTAAAATTATGTATTTATCTAATGAAATATGATTCATGGATTATAATAAACATATTTATTTTTATATTATGGGTGAGATTGATAATATATTTGATAAATTAAAACTACAAAATACAGCAAACTGCCATGATAGGTTGAACACCAATCAGAGCGAATTACGTCACATCTATGCAATTGTCATTTTGTGTCATTTGTACTTCGACAACATCCGCAGTATTTATCTTCGTTTAAATATCTTGTGTTTTCCAACTATCAGTTGCTTAGTTTTGTGTTACCAGTTTCTAAAAGAAGGAAAGAAAATAAAGCTCAACAACTGCGAGTTAATAAAATATCAAAAAGACTATGTTTGTGATCAAAAGTTTATCCATGCATAAATTGGTGCTGAAATACAAAGAACAGTCCTGCGACACATTTTTGAAAAGACTCGTATTGACTGATGAAGATGACATGAAAGTAGAAGAAGAGACAAGACCAACATCTGCAAGCTGTTTTTGGCATGAGCGTTTGAATTTAGTCAGTGCAAAACCAATGATGCAACTCTCATCACGTTAATAATGGGAAGAAAAATCTCAGACGCATCAGCCCTAAAACGCGATAAAATGTTGGAGGATGAAGTGGAAGGAAAACTGTAAGTACCAGTTTGGGGAAAAAAATTAAAAAATGTGGTATAATCCTTTGCAAAAACTATCCCACGATAGCAGGATCGCCTGATGGAATCTGTGAAGACAGTATTATTGAAATTAAATGTACCATGAATATGAAAAAATTATGCGGAAAAAGGAAAACCGACCCAGAAGTTTTTTGTGCAGATGGGAGCTACAAATGTATTTAACAGGTCTTCAAAAGAACTATTTTGGTGTAGCTGTATGTGTATTTTCATTTAACTAATGAATCTTACAACACAAAATATTAGCACCTTATAATACTGTTGACAAACATAGATGTGACGTTACGTAGACAACGGCAACCGTTTTTGCGTGAGATTAAGACTTAAAATTAAAATGTCAATATTTTTCTACTAAACCTTTTATTTTCTACAGAAATAAGATATTTTTTGGAAATAGTAGGTAAATACTTCCGAACATCATGGAACAACTTTTCAAAATCTGCCGTCATGCTTATTACCTATCTACTAACATAAAATGTGAAAAAAATTCGAAAACAAATGCGAAAACAAATTTCGTAAAAAAATCAGTTTTACTAAACTCATTTTAAGTTACTCGTTACTCATTCGTACTCAAAAGTTATATTCGTTTCGTAAAACTTTACTATTCTAAATTTTTGTTTAATATAATATTGTCTCATTTCAATGTGGCAAAATATCCTTTAAATAAAAAAGCCTATAACTAATCTGTAAATAAGTAAATACAGAGAAAAATATTACTTATCTTGAAGCAGTTTTTTTTTTTCAGAAATTCCAATTCGCTTGTATTAACCGTTTAGTGACTTTATCAGAATTAAACTTAAATTAGTATTTTTTTCACTCTCCGAAAATATACATACATACGTTAAATTCATAAGATCACTAGCTCGTTTCTACTACACTACAACAAACTTGACCATGCTGTTACATGCTGTTAACACATTTGTAGAACAAGAACTAGATTTCGTCCGCAACTTCTACCTCAGAATCGCAATCTCTAACCAAGAAGTGCGTAAACCAGTTATTACCCGTTATCCTTCCCACAAGGTAACCTTTAACTTTCAGCGCCTCGGAAGCGGTCCCGCACACGTGGGCTCCCAAAGAAAACCCAATCAAGTGCATGTCTCTCGGCTGCATGCCTTTCTCCACCATCAGCTCGAGCAGCATCCCCAGCTGTCTTCCTACTAACTCCGTGTTGGCTGCCGCGTTCGTGTACTGAGGCCCTCTGGCTCCCACGTGCCAGTCCATCACGACCACGTTGCAGTCGTACTGAAAAGATAACAAAAAAATTGATTTAATTTAACTATGAGTTTCAAATTTCATGTCTCAACTAAATTTGCAGGTTTCCATGGCGGTCGTCAATTTTTACAGAATTTCCGGGCTATGTTTTTTGACGTTTCGAAAGAATATCGCTCGAAAATGTATAACTATTTTTACTTTAATCTGACACGTAAGTTGTTAAGAAAAATAAGGGTGGTTAATTAGTACAAAGTATTGTTACCGAAATATCTCATTTGTATTAGGGAATGAAATTTGAATGAACGTATACAAGATATAACTATGAAAGTAGTTGATATATACAGGGTGTCTGCGAAAGGTTGGGAAATCTCGAAGCTGGAGATACTGGTGGCCAAAAATAAGTCGATTGAGCCAATGCTTTATGCAAATGTTGCTGGTTTCAAAGACAGAGCGTTCAATATTTGAATTTTATTTTGAAAGGACCACGCAACCAATATATGGGATTTTCGTTCACCGTCCAATTGGTTGCAACCAATTTTTTTTTATATAGTATTTGACCTTCTAATAAAAAGTTCTCACGGGCACAACGCCCAAAAAAGGCTCCTTGAAGGACTGGCTGTCGACGAGAGTTTGGATATACGAAAGATATGTTATTTCGCACAAGCTGTATCACCATAATTAATTATGGTAAATAGGGATATTTGTGGGCGCTGATTACAAATCCAAGGTCAGTTAACCTCCATCTTATTAGATTCAAGGTCATCTCAAGGCCAAATTGTGTAAAAACCATTAGAAAAATGTGAAATAGTATGTACATAGGTTTTTGAGGTCACTGAATACGAATATCGGGTTCGCTTAAGCCTACAAGATCATTTAGAGGTCATTCTAAGTAATTTCAAGGCCAAACTAACAATGATTCAGCGCACCTCAGAATTGAATTCAGCAACATTAGCCTTACCTTAATTGGCCGGGTTCCAGCCTTGCCTTAACTGGCCGGGCTTCAGCCTTGCCTTAATTGACCTTAATTTAGATGACCTTGAATCTGACATGATGGAGGTTAACTGACCTTGGATTTGTAATCAGCGCCCCCAAATACCCTTGTTTACCATAATCAAGTATGGTTATACAACTTGTGCGAAATAACATATCTACTATCGAAAAAAATTGGTTGCAACCAATTCGAATGGGAACCAAAATCCCATATAGTGGGTACGTCAATAATTTTGAAAACTGTTAAAATATGAAGAAAAAAATTGGCACTATTATGTTTTCTGACATGACAAATAAGAATTTATAACTAATTCTGGCGTTGCTTGTATAGGGCGTCAGTTATGCCCCATTCCTTTGAAAAATAGGGGAAACTTTTGTTTGTCTTTAGAATTACGGATATTGTGTATTGAAAATAAGAAATAACTCCATCGTTTCATAAAAAATGTTACTCTTACTCGTTTTCGATATATCCCTTGGTTAAATTAAAGGGAAAATAGAAATTGATCAAATCATTTGAATACCTGTGATTTGAAAGAACGTGTTCACGCAACTCCTGTGCCAAGTGAAGATGAGCTGCGGCAAAGGATTTTCCACCATAGCCATGAAATAAAAAATAAATGAAAAAATAATATTCAAATGATTTGGAGAGTACAGCTATCACTTTTTAGACGTGAGTGTATTAGACAACGCTCATTTTGAACAATATTTATAGGATTTAGTAATTTTCAGTATTTATATATTCAATTTTCAATTTTTTCTGTTTTGTTTGTTATTTTCTCTTTAAACGGTTATGTATAACTTTCCCTTTAAGTTGTTTATTAGAAAACTGTAAATAACTTGATTCATACATTAGTTGTCAAGTCGAATTAGTTTAATTTAAGGATTAAAAATTGCTTAAAAACGAAATGTATTGAAATTTGTATATGTAAATATCTCGATAACCAAGGGGTATATCGAAAACAAACAAGAGTAACTGTTTTATGAAACGAAGGACGTTATGTCATATTTTCAATACACAATATCCGTAATTATAAAGGCATTTCGAAAGAAAATTAAAAATGGCGTAAAGGGTTATTTAAAAGCAGAAAAAAACTACCCATCACTACTCGGACATCATACACTTCACCTGAAGATTCTGATGTGAAAAGGAGATAAGTCCATTTCTTTTCAAATGGGATTTCTGCGTGTATAGGTTTTAAAAAGCACTTTCGTCTGGTGCATATAGAATTTGTTGGTTCAACTAATGTTTTCATCGAAAATGCAGTTCTCCTCTTACAATTAGTTATGTTTATTTGTTGGAAAATACAAGAACATTCAAAATTGGAAATTACTAAAAATTATCGGTTTAACATATCCATGACTTGTAAATTACTGATCGCCGTCTCTAACATTCTTTTTTATTAATGAATTCATGTGCTTATTTAGTTCAACAACCTTCGGCTACGGCAACATGTGCCCATTCTATCAATAAAACTTGTGAAACATGGAATTTAAAAAGAAAATGCTTGTATACCTATAAGATAGTGTTTAGTTTAAACTATTATGAAAGTGACAGTCGTGACTCGTGAAGTGACCTTAACTGTTAATTAATTGTTATGTAATAGTGTTCATGAATTGAGTGTAGGTCAAATAAAAGCGGGTATAATAATAACTAACCCACGCTGTAGCTGCAAACGCTGTAACATTTTATTGTTGTTATATTTAATGAAATTTGTGTCTTAGGAACATATTTTACAGAAAATTATACTCACTACTTTTATCTAAATATTTGTCAATATGAATATTTCATTTCGATAAACAACTGGTATGTTTACATATTGCTTTGATATATTTGACTACATTTATACAGTTTTATTGATTTATTAGTTGTTTTTGTAATGTAAATAGAAGAGATTAAAAAATTAACCTCAATAGAACGAAAGATCTTGAAATCTATATCATTGTGCTCAAAGATACATTATGTGTCAAAATCTAATTTCATGGTATTAAGAAATGTTTTGCTCTGAAATGGGAGTCATTACCGTCTCTCCATCACCCCTCTCAGTCAATCATTCCATCAACTGACAACACGGTGTAAATGTAAAATTGCAAGAGTGTTGACATCATTATTCAAGTTCCTACCTATTGTAGCAGTCGGCCAACTTACCACTTAACATGGTTAGTTTACTTTTTATTCACTGTAATATACAATTGGATGTTGATATCAAGCGGTTTGTAAATAAAAAAGAAAGGAGTTCTTATTTAAATAATTGTTTTTTTGTTTGCTTTTTTATTTTTTTATATAATATTACGTAAAACCGTTATTTTTTTGTGTATGTAATAGTACATTATTTATTTTTTACAATAAAAACAGAGAGATGGGAAACACCGTATTAACAAAATGCTCACATGTACATTCAAAGGTCAATTAAATATTTAACGAAAAAGTCCAACTCCAAATCTATTTCAAGAAACTTAAATATTATTTTTCAAACGAATACAACGCTTACTAGAATAACTTTTTTAACGTATTTATAAAAATTATGTAGTGTATAGTGGAGTTTCCAGTGGTAAAATAAAGAAAAAAAGACTTCCGATACCGGGAATCGAACCCGAGCCTCCTGGGTGAAAGCCAGGTATCCTAGCCACTAGACCATATCGGATTATAACAGTTTGAGTTGAAGAAGATATTTACTGAAGTTTATTTTTTAAATAAATATATAATTTAATAAAATTACAATGAAATTTAATTTTTGAATACACTGAATTTAACTAATAGAAATCAACGATAAAATATTTATTAGGTATCCATTATTTTTACATACCTGATGTATGAAAAAGTTACTTGCAACAACAAAATTCACGACTGCAACCAAGTTTACTAAATTTTTTTAAAGGAAAACACTATGGGCAGGCCTGTTGTTTTTATTGATTTTCCAGAACCAGGCAATCTAAGTCTTATCTGTTTTAATATAGAGATATGTATCTTGTTGGCATAAAAACTCATATCTAAAATTATAATTAAAAAACGAAAACAAATAAATAATGTATGTTATTAAGTAGCTACATCTTATGGAAAGTAAAAATTTAAGATTGCATTTCACTTGGAGAAAGTGGTTTAGTGTATTAAACTGTTCCACAACGGAAATATTCCGTTTTCTTCATATTTTTATTATTAAAAGAGGAAGCCAGTTACTTTGTTCTAGAATAATTCCACACTTTTTGTTTTTAGAAGGTAGACCTTGATAATAAAAAAATGTTCACCTCAACCATTAAAATATGTAGTTTCAGGAAATATAGTTATTGAAATGATATTTATTATTCTCATTACTCAGTTTTTTAATAATCAGCTTATAGAGTATGTACAGGGTTATTCACAGACCATCAACCGTCTTATACTTTTTAATTCCGTAGTTAGAAAAAAATTATATAGATCAAAACTTTAGGAAATTTTCTTGCGATTTCAAAGCAGTGCTTAAATAACAATTGAGTGATACTCGAGCCAAACAAGTATTTTTTAAATAGAACACCCTGTGTATTTTTACATATTTGGTTAGAGCGCTTCCTTAGAATTACAGTTAGGTTTAATAGGTCGAATAATAAGAATTATATGACTAAAAAAGTTTGCCATAAGCTCAGTGTTGTATAAACAGATCATAGTTAATTAACATATTCTTTTGACCATAGTTTTCTTATCTGTTGCAAAGACAGATCGATAGTTAGTTACAGTTCATACGATATTTGTGGAAATAGAAAGAGACAGAAAGACATTGGCGGCATGGCACCCAGCCCGCCCCTACCGCGATAAATTGATACAGTACTTCCGATAACAGAACTTTATTGACTTATTCTCTTTTTGGAATTCTATCCCAACAAAGATTGTACGGACTGTAGGTAGATTGATGGATGTAGGTATAGGTAGACAGAGAGAGAGAGAGACAGAGAGAGAGAAAGAGAGAGAGGTGGTTAAATTGGATCAACATTGCATAACTTAGTTCGATCATTAATACTTGTATTGTTGCTTTGGGAGATTCTTTTTAAAATTCAGAATTTTTGGATTGGATTTTGTAATTTTTTTCAGATTTTTCAAAGAGCTCCATGAACATAGAAAATATTTTTTAATGTAATTTTCTTGCCAATGTAGAATCAGATATTCAGTGCGACGTTTCGTTTAGCAACTATCAGCAACTTCAATAATTTATTCACACATTGGTTTATGGCTCAGTGACGTTTTACATGCAATACTGGCAAAGACAAAATCTATTAGGTATATCCAAAATTAATTGGTAATGTAAAAACAAGAATAAAAATGTATAGAAAAAATGAAAAAATAATAGAAAAGTTTAAATAAGTAATCGATAGCCAATAAACAATAGTTCAATAGTTAAAGATACACTGGATATTTGAAATTCGACACCAGTCGACACAGTGGTCATAATTATTCTTGAAAGAATTGATGGATGGTGCAACAGCAACAGGTCAAAGAGATCATTTATCAGGTAAAATTCGATTATAGAAGAAAGCCAATTGTGGTTCTAAAATATTCTTCGAAGTGAAGAGAACTTTAAAAGGGCAACTATAATGTATCTAATATGTCTTCATAAAGGTCTCTAAATTATTCATTTGGTTAATCTTCTCTGATCAGATTTATGGAGATGCTCGTCACGAACAGAATGATGAAGTTAAATTATTTCATTATATTCCAGTTTTAGACGAATAAATGTCTTATACATACGAGTATATTCGACTGAAGGTGACTCAAAGGGTTTTTTTAACGTAAGTAGTGAGTTAAATAAGTTTTTTAAGAATACTAACTTGCTTGGATCAGCAAGTTATTAATAAAAATCATTTTGTTGATCGACTACTTAGACTTACAATTAGACATAGTCTTATTATAGATGTTGTGAGTTCTAATAAGGAGAACAAACACTTTGATTTATTGAGAGGAAGTAGTTAATCTGAACACCCTTTGTAGATAACCTGAGTAAAAGACCATCACTAAGTCTAAAATTTTAAAGTTTATGGAGCAGTCGTTTTGGAATTCTATCAAAAGCATTGAGGGAATCTAAATGTCTACTGGCAGGCGGTCCACCATTTAAGTCTAAGCAAGGAAGCAACTAAGTCAAATTGTACATGTTGATCCTGGGCAAAGAATAGAAAGTAAAGGGACAGTTAGTCTTATTACTACACGTAAGTTTAAACGCCTGCGCTAATTTACGGGCATTATGAGATTAGTTAGCTTTAGTTCTGTATCCACCTGGTTTTAAATGATTGTACAAAACAAATTTTGCGGTGTTTATAAAAATAATCCTAGGTAATATTTATTTAAGATAATTATGTGTGTCCTACAGTAAATTAGAAAGTGAATATATTCAACAAAATTCTAGTAGAGTTAAATTCAACACTTTAAATAAAGTCTATTGATAATATGTGACACAAATTGGCGTTAACCGTATTTGCCATATAAATTACAATCAACAGTTATATATTTAGTTGCAGTAATGGTTACACAATTGTATAAATTTTTAATATAATTTTTTCCGTTAATTACGGATAAAAGAAATCGAAACACAACAACTGTTGTTTTATATAGTCATACCAAACTTTTAGTCCTTTGTTTATAGAGAGTGTCTCACATTTAAATAGCAGGACTTCAGGAATCAGTAGAAGACCTCATTTTGAGTCTAAAAGTTCCTATATATATGGGTCCTAAAACGCTTCCTTTCTGAGATACAGGGTGTTCAATTTTATTTTTGTTTTATTTATTTATTTTTTAACTAAATAACCGCTGACAAAAAAAATCATCATGTTGCGGCGAAAGACTTAGTATTTGAGGGCAAATAATTTGACACAGAAAATCATCGCATATTAGTTCCAGTGGTGGAGATAGAGGGGTCTCTATGCATGTTTTTATAAAAAAAAAGTATAGCCGATTTGATATTTTGCAAATGTTTTCGAAAAATATGAAAGAGCATTCAATTCTACCCAGAAAAGGCCCTCTTGTCCAAAGTCGATAGGAGGTGGCGTTTTCAAGAAAAACCGAAACAAACAAACAAACAAAATTAATTTAACGAGATAAGATATCGTTACTACAATTTGAAACTGAACCAAATTATTCCATAAATTGAACTATTTATATTGAAATTAAATGTATTTTTTTCTTTTATTTTTCATCATTTGGGCATTCAATAACAATTCATTTCGATGGTTTTATTTGGTTTGGTTTTGAACATAATTAGTTCTATTTTTCTTCTAAAATATGTTTTTTTCAATTTGAAATCTCTCATAAACCAGCAAAAAGAACTCACCAACTTTCTATAAGCTTCTGATAGAACTAAGAAGCCCTTATCGTTCCATCTACCCATGTACCCATGCACCAACAGTTTTAGAGGCTTGGAAGAATTGAATGATGATTTTTCCAAAGATGCTCCGTTATCATCGTAGACCAAAACTTCTGGATGGGAAAAATTGATGTTTCTCGTGAATAAGTAGAACTTTGTATCTAGTATCTTCGGATCTTCTGGTACCTTTTGAAGTGGAGAATTTTTGTGGGGCAGATTAAAACAACCAACAATATCTGAAAGAAGCCGAAATATTATAGAAACCACAAATTATTTACAAATGTCAACTATGCGTTATCAGCTAATTTTAATAGGCATTTAAGAATACGGTCCCAGATTGATTTGTGATAGTGTGTTATGATTAATATGGAAAAAATTACCAATGAAGGAATGTCTAGTTTAGTTTTCGATTTGTTGGAAGTTGACAAAAAATCACGTCCTCTAAAATATACATATCTAAAGACGTTTGACGTAAGTGATGAAACTTGAGCTAAATAATTAACAGCAGGAGTCCACTGAATTCAGGTATAAATGCATCTACCAGAAGTCCTTTTGAAACCAAATCGCCTAGAGATATCTCTTCCACTACAACGGTGAATTAATTTTGAGATTATTTTAATTAAAGGGTTTATTGTGAAAAATTGTGTACATTATTATTTTTCAAAGTATTGTCCATCACTGGCCACTAGGTACATTTCCCTATCTTTCTGACAGCATACGGATTCCGTGTCGAAAGAACAACTCTTCTTTTGATGCTATCCACCAATCGATCCAGTCCATTGGATCGGAACAAGTAGTAATCCGATGGAGCAATATCTTGTGAATATGGCGGGTGGGGTAAAACATCCCATTTCAGCGTTTCTAAGTATTATTCGACTTCATAAGCAACATGTGGTAAAGCATGTTCATGTTGGAAAATTACTTTATCGTGCCTTTGCTCAAATTGCGGCCGTTTTTCCTTCAATGCACGGCTCAAACGCATCTATTGTGTTTGGTAGCGTTCACCAGTGATGATTTTAATCGGTTGAAGCATCTCATAGCACACAACACCAAGCTGACCCCACCAAATACAGGACATGGGCTTCAAACCATGAATATTCGGTCTTGCCGTCGATGTTTATACATGACAGTGAGGATACGATTCGGTTCCAATTCGTATGACGCCCAATTCCCTTGTTTTTCAATCTAACCGAGTGCATTTAAACCTTTGGAAATTGTTGTGCGATCAACATTCAACGATTCAGCAAGTTCATCTTGCGCTTGACATGAATATTGGTGGAATAATGTTTCCAATTCCTCATTTTCGAACTTTTTCGGTTTACCAGGGTGTTCTTTGTCGACTGTGTCGAAATCACTACTTCTAAAACATCGAAACCAATACTTACACATTTTATCGATGGAGTGTGTTCACCGTAAGTTTCACTCGATGACTTTCAGCAGCACTGTTCTTTGAATTAAACAAGAAAAGTAAAATTTCCCGCAAATACTGTTATGATGGCGCGTAATTCGACATTTTCTGAGCTGAGAAAAAATATGTTGTTTATACTTCAGCAAAATGACCTAATAAAATGTGAAGCTTAATGACAGAGCTTTCACATGAATATAGTTACGTAAGTGTCCGATGTGATAAAAAAAATTACGCCATCTATTGTAAATCTCTCAAAATTAATTCACAGTCCTAATAACATAACTTGCAAAAAATATTCATGGACTCGAGTTTCTAGAAAACAATTTTTAATACGCCCTAATCAAGAACATTCCGCAAAAATTATTTCACAAGATTTTAGAATATTTTTCGAGGTTACGCTCCTTGCTACTTCTAATAAAAAATTCATAAAGCAATGATCTTTCTGAACTTCTCTTTTACTTTTACTCTTTACTGAAGTGGTTGATAATAATTTCAAAGTAAGTTAAAGAACAATAATACGAAAATGAGCCGTTTTTTATAATAAAATGGAAGACAGAAATATTGCTAGGAGCTACAAACACCGCTCTTTAATTCGATAAACTGTTAGCCTAGGTCACTTTACGTTAAAAGTTTTCAGCACACTTTTTTTGGGAAACAAGCGTTTCCTGACATTTCTTCATAGAACTTTCTTTTCTTATTTTGACCACTTGAATTAGGTTCAGTCAATTTTGAAACACCCTGTATATAAAAAAATATCAACAACATTTTGACTTAGTTAAACTAAAAGTATGTAAGTATTTTATGTTTTTAATAAAAAAATATGTACACGATTGTGTCAACGTAAATAGAATACTTTTGAAGATACAGACAGAGGTAACAATCTCAAATGCCTATTTCCACACAATTCAATATTTTTATTTAGAAAAAAAACAATATAAGCTTTGAATTTCAAAGACGTCAGACCAATTACATATGATGGGTATACGAGTATGTATTTCTTAATATAAATTGTTTTTATAATTAATAAATAATAATTTTCTATGGTAATTTATTACCCAGATTAATTACATTTAATGATAGTATCATAACTAACTATTACTATAAAGCAGACCTCTTAAAAAAATGTATATTCAAGTCCCCCTTATCTTAAATCTGAGTATAATCAGAATTGGAGTAAATATGCTTTAATTTTAGTTGACTGTGGAAACTAATATGTTATTGTACATAATATTTAGCATCGATAGTGATAAAATTCAGCTTGCCCAAACAAAAAGTCGCGAAATGGTCATTTTCCAGCTTATTTTCCTAGCCTAAATAAAGACAAATACGTACCTACCTAATCGTACTATTATGTTTTATGTTTTATGTTTTATGTTTTAATATTAATGAAATAGATGTTCTTCGTTTAAATGCTTACCGAATATTTTGCAGAAACCTGATGCGTATTGAATATCATTAATCGAAAGCCCAACCTTCCTTTAATGTACTGTATGACATCAAAAATGATTTTGAAATTGATTTTTAGAATTATACCCATAAAATATAGTTTATAGTTATCGAAATTGATTAATAAATTAAGTAATGATCGTTTGAAAGCATGAAATGAAGTATACGAGTACTAAATTTGGTTTCGTGAATACATAAATATGTATTTACCATTTCACAATGTCGGCTTTTAGAAATTTATTTACGAAACAATACAAAATTAACCTTTTGCATTACTTATCTTTACGACTGAATAGGTACCTAGTTAATAGACAAATGCAGCGGCAGTTGGTAAAAATTGAAGTGGTCATATTTTTATAAAGCGTGGGACCCATACCATGTTTTAGGCGATAATCATTTCAAAGGCCGCTAAAAGAAATTTCGTGACGAAGAAATTTCCTGACGAAAAAATTTCGAATGATATTTACGAAATTAGAAATAGGAGCGTCCTTCTTGGGATTTCGAAATACATGCAAAATATGCATACTTCATAGTTTCACCTTAAATTTTAATTTGAAAAACATTCTGTTTTTGAAATGAAAGTACCTATTTATAAATTGTAACGACCATGTGTGATTAGGATTTTAATTTAAAGAAAGGAGGTCTTAAGATTATATACAACAATAGAATTAACTGGTACTGCAGTTACAAACAACCTGAATAGGAAGGTGTTATTACATACAGTCATACAATAAGCGGAGATTCGTTTTCCTGCTATAAAATTTCGCAACAAAAATGTGCGTGCATATTGTGCGACGTATATAATTGTACATAATTTCCGTCAACATTAAGTTTGGCAATTTCCTGGACTCTTCACCTTTTTAACACAATTGCAGAGGAGTTTTAATTATTATAGCAGGTAACTACATAATACGGAAATGTATTATAATATTCTTACTTCCCACAGACAAGCTGTTATCTGCATAGTCAACTACCAAAATTTTGTCAGATAAAATTCATTTTTTCCACAATACTCAAGGCACAAATGAGTAAGATTTTGGAGATAAACATATAAATATAAATATGCAGGGATGACAAACTACGCCCCTATGCGTCTTATATTTCTCATTCAAGGAACATAATGTTATCACTCCTTGCTAGGATTGCTGAGTGTATTTGAAAGAGACATCATATTGCAAATCGAATTTATATTCTTTTTCTCTCATTTTTAGACATTCGGTTATTTTTACTCAAATGACTCAATTTTTTAAACAGTCTAACGTATTTCGTTGAGTGGTAAATACTAATTTCTATGGTATTTCTCAATCCGCCATAATGGGATTCGCCATTTTGGATTTAAGAATTTCCAAATTAAAATTTTATATTCGCGATTGGCGACCTTGAAAACCAGTAACGAGTAACAAGTTTCTGCCATAATCTTCAAATATTGAATGTAAAAGTCCGCCATATTGGATCCGCCATCTTTTATTCAGGAATTTTTGGATTCGGATTCCAGATTCGTAATCAGCGACCGCAAAAACCCATGGTAACAAATTTTAAGCAAAACAATTGAATAGAAAGATGTGTGCATGCCTTAAAGAGAAAAGTGAGACCTGACCCTGGTTGTAGGCGGTTTCTAGGCCTTTGGGGTTTAGTTATATTGTTTTGGTATATCGTCTATCAACCTACCTACATTTGGTAGTATAAAATACAAGGCTATGATTTTTCACGTTGTTTTACACTAACATTCGATTTGATCTTGGACGTAGAATTAACCCCCTCGTAGGGATGGTTGTGGATTTAATTTGCATATACTTCTTTTCAATGCTCAAAATATATTTTTATCAAAGTATTTACAAATTGTTATTTTTCATTAGATACAAAGTTTACCTTGTCCTCACTATTTCACCCAATTTTAGGGGATATTTTAGCATTTTACTAGTGACCTAGTATATCGATTTTTGGGCTATGGATTCGGATTCTGCATCAAAAAATGCACAAAATCTGTACTCGTGTCTCTAGTAGAGAACTTTTTTTGTGTGGATGAGTTATAATACTTGTTTATGAGTTTTTTATATTTAAGTATAACTATTTAGTAATTACTTTCATAATTGACCAAAAAAATAAAAGCAATCATAAGCAGATGGCATTAAATATACAGGGTGATTCATTAATAATTGTACATACGCTAGCTGGATAATCCTGGGCTGAAAATATGAAGAATTTACACATAACACTTAGATAAAATATGGCTCTTACGGAGTTACAGGGTGTTTTATTTTAAATGACTTAAATGATAATAAACTCAACTGTAAAACCTAATTCAACTAAAGCAATGCAATTCCATGACAGAAGACACCGACTTGAATAATAATAATGTGACGAATAAATTACATAATAAAA